AAAATTAATCTATAGTACAGGTCACAATGACTGTGGACTGTTTGGACAATGTTCCTCTACTCCCTTACCTTTTCAATGTCTGGTCTTGAGTAACGAAATTATCATATCCACATAGCGTTTTGAACGGGAGATACATATCTGTACCAGATATGTAACCGGTACCGGCAACCGGCCTGTCAGATTCTGACCGGTGTGTTGAGAAAAAAACCTTTTTTCGTGGTTAAAATCAGTACTTAAAATCAGTCGAAAACGGATTTACTGACTTAAGTAAAACAAACGTTTTCATATTTCAAATTAAGAGATTTAGCTTGGTTTTCTCTTTTTTGTCAACAGTTTTCGAGATCAGGACTGGTAATCTCTGTTTTTCTTTCTTTTTGGATGTTTATTGCACTACTGTCGGTGCCAAAATAGAAGCCCACTGATTCATAGGCGGCGGAGCCACTAGGCTCGTTAGGCTTGAGCCTTGCCTTGAATATGAAAAAATTAGTTTCGTTTTCCCACCGTTTTACACGAAATTTGCTGTTCACACCAAATAGCAAAGCAATAATATAATATTGTATGGGAAAACGCATTAACGAAATTATTTTTTCGAAGATTCCACCCCCTCTCCCTCCCGCCCTGTTGGAAGTCTGAGCCATGCCTCATCCGAAAACGTTCCGCTGTCGCTGCACTGATTACTTTTTCAATAACTCAAAAGCAGTAAATGCTAGAGACTTGCGCTTATCATCGTTCACTAGCCTAGACGGGAAGCCATGTTTTGATAAGCAAAGACAAATTTAGAAAAAATTTCAAAAACCCGTTTTTCAGGAGATCTGTGCAAAACCAGTTCGATTCTCTGAAAACAGACAGAAAAATCCATGGATTTGCTTCCTAGATATATAGTCTGAAGTGTCCTCGATAAAAATGTATCTAAACTACATCTTGGAAATTCGTAGTTCGAGCGCTATGGACGTTTTTTTTTGAAGCCTTAGCACTCCACTGCCATTGGGTTTTTACATTCACACACTCGTGCCAACTCACTTTCTCACACATAGACAAAGACAAAAAAATTTAAAGTAACACAGAACAAAGAAAAGGAACTGAAGAATTTAAAAAACAAAAATAACTGGCCGGAGAGCGAACACAGTAATTACTTTTCACTGAATGTGTATCTAACCTTAGATCTTGACGTTGACAGTAAAAATTTGAGCTCGAAATATTGAGTTTATGAATCAAATAGTAGGTGTCCATGCATCTGATATGTCTTCTGCAATTCTAATGATACGAACTTCGAGATGGTGTCAAAAATGCTTTTGACTGTCCAAAAGAAAATATATGACAGGACAACCGGCCGACCCGGCCTGGTCAGAATTTTTTAGACCGGTTACTGTTCCGGTCGAGGGATTGAAACAAATTTTTCAATTGGTCAACTATATAATCAAGAGATTGTTGATCATTTTTACTTCTATAAAATTCATCATTGAACATGTTCATATCAACAATGTATAAAGTAATAAACATTATTTGGAACATGAGTGGACGTTTGTTTCGATGCGGCTGTTTAGAATTTGGATTTTCAAAAAGTTCAAAGCGTTGTCTTTTTGACTTTAACAATTTTTTAGCAAATAACATCAACAGACTTCGATACCACAGTGTCTGATAGGGGATCAAGAGAACTATTTCCAATTGTGAATTGGCCGCACACACTGTTGAACACAATTGTGGATAACTTCAGTATAGTTTGCGGAACATTGACTCAAGGTACTGAGTACCTTGAGTGCTTTCTTAGAAACGTGCAGAAATGCTGACGATGATAATGGCGATCGTATTGTCTTCATTATTTGAATGTGATCTGTACAAGGCACATTACAAGCTGATGATCCGAACTGTTGGTAAATATACCAATGCTCGTGTAAAAGGAAGCCGTGTTCTTGTATCCTAGAACAACTTGTACATGGATTTAGTTTTATAACTAAACCACCGAGCACTATCTATTCATTCTTGAGTAATGTTTGTGAATTGGTGATAATTTTTTTCGTAGAGTTCACAATATTTGTAACCATATCCAACAGCATAATCGTATTCCGTCTTAGAACATGAATATTGTTTTTCTAAACATTCAGTGTACCATGCACAAAAGTAGCTTGACATAGAGTACAAGCTGTGTTTTTCGACGCTAACTCCGAATATGATATTTTTGTTGCATAAGAAATGAGTTCTGATGGAGAAATTAGAGAAATACGGACCGAAGTTTGATGTTTTTCGCGTTTGATTCAGAAAAAATGTACTTTCTCAGAAAAGAAAAACAATTTTGAAAAAGCACTTCATACCTTTGTTCTAAATTGAACGGCAGAGGAATGGCTGATAAATCTTGCTCTATCTCTTAGATAAAGCGACGCCACAAGTTATTGTTTCATCTGAAACCTTCAAATATACTTTTCTAGGTGCAATTTTAAACGCTGATGTTGATCAGTAGGTTGGGTGGCGATCGACGTGCATGTTATGTATAGTCCAGCTCATTTTGGAAATTCTTAGTAACAGAAAACAGAGGAGAGAAGACTAGTATTAAAATGCTAAAACGCTTTTGAGTTTCTTCGTCCGTAGCAAAGTGGGGCTAGAGTATTTTAATACTAGTCTTCGCTCCTCTGTTTTTTGTTAATAAAAATTGCAAAAATCAACTGAAGTATACGTAACACACACGACGATCGCTAGCCAACCTACTGATCAAGAAAAACGCCTTTATAAAGCTCCGAATCCATTTGGAACGAAGTTATACCATTTTTGAAAAAAATTAGCGGATTTTCGAAAAGAGCGTCCCTCTCAGTATTTTGAATTTTTCTCGGTGATAACGCGCACTAAACAAATGTAAAGTAACATATTTTTAATTAGCATATAATTCTCTATCGAATGATGCATATTTAAAGTGACAATAAAACAGTGCGCGACGTTTGAATTTCGAGTGCCTTACCGTTACCGTAGTACAGTAGTACAAATATATCATGAGAAATTTTAAAAACGTTTTTTTCTCATTTTTGCGCAAGGTTCTATAGAAATCGTGTAACCGTCGATTTCAGTTGTCACTTTGTATCTTCGCTAAAACTCGAAATATCAATTGCAAAAAAACTGCATTCATAGGTAATCGGTTATGCTGCAGCCAACGGACATATGCCCTAGGCTACCCAAGGATCTCCAGAAAACCTTTTGTCAAAAATATCGAGATTTGAAGTTGAAACAAAAACTCTTAATGATAAATAGATTACGACGTATCTAACGGGAATATATTCAGTACTTTAAGCGGATTTCCAGCAGGTTTTCACAGGATCTCGAGCAATTTTTGGATAAATATTGAGACTTTAGCTAAAACAAAAAGCTTTCATAGATAATCAACTGCAACGCTTTCAACTACTAGATAGTTGAGGTTTAGAAAAGACATTTAAAGGGCTCCCAGAAAACGTTTTTGGGTTTATTGACATTTAGAGCTAAAAGAAACGATTTATGTACAATGTAGAGTATGACAAGTTTTCAAGTGAACAAATCTGAAGTGTAGCCAAGACTATTGATGTATCCGTAATTAGTAATAGTTAGTTAGTGTAGTTAGTAAGAGTAGTTGAGTGGTTTTGTAGAGGACAGACTGGCGTGTTAAATCCATTGCAGAAACGTGAAAATCTATTTTTCGACTGTGTAATGGCAACTTGGTTTTCGAGCAATCCTCCAGAAACTCTCTGAAAAGCCTTGTGATTTTAACAGGTTTTGCATGGTCAAATATCCCAAGATCTTCTCTATCCAGCGGTAAAAACCACAGGTCTCTATCTCTTATCATTCTCGAGTTATTCGAAAAACGGTTACATGAACGGATCTGTTTAATGGACAGTAGTGCTGCAATACATTCCTGACATAATCGATCACCGCACAGAAAGCTTTTACCCAATAAAATATACCTTATTTTATCAAACGCGTTAATGTAAGTGATATACTTTCACACTTCACGTATTTGCAGGCACTAAAACGTGCGTGTTTTTTTGTTAAAAACCATTTATCTGTATATTTTCTGTTCAAAATGTTTTAAAAAATGAAGAAACAAAAACACCACTGTCATTAACAATGATACCATCGTCGGTGTGAGATGATTACTAGCTGACGATGTTGTAGATGGGTTTGCCAATACACAAATTTCATTGACATTCAATTCTCTACCATAAATACGAAATTCATCTATAGAACCTTGAAATGGTCCCGGTGTATGAAAGGTACTATTATCTGTACAACCAGTCACAGCAACACCTAGTGGCGACGTATTTCCCAGTGTAACATATGCAGGTACATTGTACTGTGAGAACCATACAGAACCTGAGGTAGTAAAGGCAACTAACAATCCATTAACATACAATCTAACACCATTCTGATATGCATAGGTCAGTGCTATATGTGTCCACTGATTAGCTACAATTGCCGTTCCACTCGATGTTAAAGAACTTACAGCCGATGGTGAACAGGTAAATATTTGAGCAACGAGAAGATTTGTAGAAGTTAACGCAAGTAGATCATAACAGTAATCACACCAATTAGTACTGATTGAACCAGTTGGAGAAACTGAGAGATGAACGAGAGTAGAACCACTGGTGGTACTATTCTGTGTTGGATTGATGAAGAGACTAACTGAGAATGATGGAGGACCAAAAGCAGCAATTTGATGTATACAAGTAAATGATTGTGATTGAAAGTAGGCTTGACTGCTACTGAAGGTGATTGCCTGATTGAGACGACCATTGAGATTAGAAACAAGATTAGCACCGTTACCGTTTATAAAAGTTGGACCGTAATCCTCAAAAGTATTTGTTGTATCAAATGGATAGTATACAACAAGGGTTGCATCATTTAAAATTTCACACGATGATTTAGCAACATTACTAATTGTCACTTGATCAAGATCACCATTAAAATAGGAATTATTAGATGTTAACGCAATTGTGGACATACCACTTGCACCACCTTGAAATGGTTGACTAGTAGAAACTGATGACGTAGCATCGATAATTCCATTTATATAGATACTCTTTTGTAACAAAACAGAATCATAGACAAATGCTACATGGACCCAGATATAATTATACAAATATGTTTCACCGTACAGATCTGTATCTCCCGTTCCAAATGACATGTGAAGATGATAATTTCGTATACTCAAGACCAGACATTGAAAAGGTAAGGTAGTAGAGGAACATTGTCCAAACAGTCCATAGTCAGTCTGACCTGTACTATAGATTAATTTTACCCACATTTCAATTGTAAAACTTTGATACGACAATGGAATATACGGCAGTAGGACGTATTGTCCTTGTGTAGAAGTAAGTTGACCCAGAGATTGACCAGAGTAGGCATCACCACCATTATATCCTATACTACCGGTAGCAGACAGAAGTTGACCGTCGTAAACATTATTTAGGTCATTAACGTTACCATCCATTGAATAGAATGCAAGTGTGTGCGGCGCATGGAATGCAGTTAAATTGTTGATACATGTTGTACTGACACAATATGTTGTAGTGGTGGATACTAAAAAGTATCGAAGTTAAATATTGGTCGGAGACGTTTATAGTCAACCTACTGAAACTATGGGGTTTTAGGTCTTTCGCAAGGCATGTATAATTCAAAATTCAAGCAGGTTTTCGTATGCCGTCTTTGTTCTTTTCACATCGAGACTATTTTTAAAGAACAAAAAACAGTTTTCTGTAGATTCAGTTCCTAGAATACCTTTTTGTTTTTTAAAAAAAGGCTAGAAATCATTATGGGGTCTCTGCGCTGCCTGGAAGCCGACGTCCCAGAGATTGGCAAGTCACGACCTTTTCAGTCTCAGTGAGGTCTCAGTCTGGAAGCTCATTAGCCGTGACTCAGTCTCAGTCATGTCTGAGAGTTGCCCATCTCTCATATGATCACTTCGAAATAGTGCTCCATGTGAGTATCAGACCACTATTGAATGGTTCCTTGCCTAAATCGTCTCTCTTCAGAAGTTAAAAAAACTACACTCACCTTTTTTCTGTGATAATGTAATTACAACTGCTGGGACAACAGCTATGACACATATTAGAAGACCTAATGTAATACCAATTAGAATTTTATATTTCAACGGAATTTTCTTTACCATTGTCCAGAGTTTACTGAAACTATAAAGTAAAATAGAGGATTAAAGCATTGTTTGCTCGAGTAATCAATCTGTTCTTACCACACTTTATTTTTTGATTTGTTATGATCCTTAAACTTTTTTTTTTGTTTTGATGTTTCTTTCTCTGTGCTACAGCTACTGCTGTTGCTGCTGATACTAAGACTTGCTGGTAATACGTATGCATTATTAGCAGGACTATGCCGGTATTGTTTATTATTGTCTTCATCATCATTAGATGATGGTTTATTACCATTTGAAACTGATGCTAATTGTGTGCTTTGTGTGGAAATAGACGCTGCTGGAAGTATGGTTGTTAATGTACTAATTGAATTTAGCGGACGTATTCTCACAACTGATGGTTTTTTATAAATAGCAGTCCAAGGGGCGACTAGCGGTCCACCATTCATTTTTTTAAGGTTTGTGCGAGTGAGTGTATGTATGGCACAAAAAATTTGTGACTAGTACTTCTCTCTGTTTCATTATGTTTGTTTTTTCGTTATTGAAAAAACGAAAATACAATCACGCTTCCTAAGGTATCTTTTTACAAATAAATGTACTTCTTGTTAAATTATTGACATGTGAACAATGTCAATATTGCGTATAAGCAATGTAACATTGACTGAGAGCATAAAAGCAATCTGAATAAATTATGTTTTGTGCCTGTTTCGTGTTCTGGATGACTATTTGCTAACGTAAAGTCCAAAAGCCAATTTATTTTAAATATTCATTTTTTATTTCATTTAATTATGTTGTCGATGGTAATTAAATCACCTGAGTGGCTCACTCACATAGCTGCTCAACATTCTATAACACTTAGTGTACAATCATGCACACTCTTATTTTCACACAATTAATTCAACCGTTAGCGAATTGTCTTAGTGAGACAATCTTTATTCAGGATGAAGGGTGTTCCTAAGTGACCCTGATTTTTCTCATATAAGTAGGCCGTAAAATTCTATTTAGTCAGCGAGGCATAGTAAAAAAAGTTTTTATTTTTTTATGTTCACATATTTTATTTGGAAAGGCTAGTAATATTGTATTGGAAAATATCGCCAACTAGGCTGTATCTTCGTTAGTCTTTTACATTGATTGATATACTTACTCGAAGAAGGACTATCCCGTTTGTTTCTTCGCACATTTCACTTAGTCAGAAGAAGGAGAAAATAATTTGTTTCTCTATTTTGATGTTGAAAAAAGAATTTTCCCCCTGTGAGTGTCTGTAAATGAAATGGATAGTTTTATAATTCGTAAAGCATACAAGTATGTATCCTAGAAATGCGTTCTTTTTATGTAATTGAAGCCACCTGACGAGACCCTTTGGCAAAGATAAAAAAAAACGGTAGTGGTATGTCACCTCTTTTATTTAAATTCGATTTTTTCTTGCTTTTTTCTACTTACGAACACCCTTCATCCTGGCTAAAGACTAAAGACAACTCAAAATCATTAGCAGTAAAATTCCTCTAAGAGACCTGGAAAACGTTGATCTATCGATCCGAATAACTTTAAGGACCCCGCACGTTTTCGGCCCTTTTTTGATGTCTAAGAGCGAAGCTATGATTATATGTTATATAGATAAGGCACACAACTACAAGTTATTTTAACATAAAATCAAATTGTCTTTCTTTCGTTTTATTTATA